CGGCTCCGGGGTGGGTGGGTGGGGGGGACGGCGACGGGTCGGCCTGGCTTCTTCCGTGACGCGGTGGGGCGCGGCCAATGGGGAGGAGACCTCTGGCGCCGCGGTGTACACTGCGCTTTGCCGTGCGCGGCGCGGGGTGGATTTTCTGTGGGCGCCGCGGCGGTGGAGCGCTGATGGGTTTGGTTTGGTTTGGCTGGAACGGCCGGAAGCTTCTGCCTTCCCGCGGACGGTTGCTTGGTTGGTTTGGGGCCGAGTCGAACGCACCCGACCTGCCTGTCGGTCGTAATTCGCGGACCATTTTTTATGTACGCATCGCAACCTTTTGGAAATTTAATCGGGCAACCCCGTGGAGCACGCACTGGCCCACCGCTTGATGTGAACGCATGCAGACGAGGGGTTCGGCGGATTTTTCCAAGGGCAAGCGCCATGAGCACGACCTTTGTTATTGTGTATGTGCGTTCGTTCGTACGTATGCTTTAAAATAAGGATATTACTATATGCTTATATGAGCTAGCATCAGGAGCAAAACCACGGATGAATAGTCACGTTAGATCGGGCGCTTTCACGTACGAACAAATGCGTCGCGATCCAGAACCGGAACCAGTTGAGGGCGGGCGGTGGCGTCGTCCACGGAAAGCTAGGAAAAAGTAGTGGACACGGTCGCATGGCGCATGAACCACACACTGCCTCACGGTTCACCGGTGCCAGGGGGAAAAGGAGGAGCAGTTACTGATCTCGACAGCTATGTGAGCTGAGCTGATGAGCATCAGTGGGCGAAATTACGATCAGGTTACACGATCTTAAGGAGGACACGTTGGCATCCTCCTCCTGGCTGAGCATGCCAAGTCACTGTCGTGATCGTCTCAAAAAATTCCAGAGCCGATGCATATCTGGAAGAAGGGTGTCTCAGAAATATCTCGGAGGAGGAAGTAAACGTGAACGCATGGTACCATTTCGATGTGAACGTACACCGAGGGGACCGACCGACTTTTGCTATGAAGGATTCGGGAGAGCAACTAGTGTGAAATATGTTCTTCAAGTACGAGCCATGTAGTCTAGTTGGCCGGTCATATATTCTAGATATCATGAACTTGCTTTTTTAGAAAATTTTGTTGTGTGGACACAATGTCTCATCTATTGGGTGACCAAATTTGATATCTGCGAAACCAAAAAGAGAAATTTTAGATATCGATAATATTGTAAGGACATTTAGACGTTGTAAGTGAAATTTGATTTGTTTATTTAGAGAATAGGCACAATTTGAGTCTGACTTTGAATTAATAAAGTCATCAACTGGCCATGATTACAATCATGAACAAAAACAGAAAAAAGAGACGGCAACACGACTGATACAAAGTTGATGAAGAAAGAGCTCACAAAGCAACAAATGCTACAAGCTCGGAGAATAGGAAGACAAAAAAAACGAAGGTTGGAGACATCAATGCCCTGTTCCGCGAACACCACATAGGAGAAGAGGAACATGCCAGCTCGAAAGGCGAAAGCCCGCGAGCGAAATAAGGGCATGCAGTCGTCAAAACAACTAAGGTCATTGCACGAAACAATCGTTCATTCCATTACGGGAGGAGGCTCCAACCTTCTTGCCTCGGCTCGAAAGGCGTGGCACCGTTGATAGATGGAGCTGCCCACCCTAGTGCCGCCACCCAATAGAGTAGGATTTTCACCCGGAAGACTTACAAGGGACGAGTGAGGGGAGTATAAGACCACAACAGGGCCTCCATGGAGGAAGACAACTAAAAGGATCGAGATGGATCCAGAGATGGGTGAATAAGTACAATTAAATTTAATTTGATTATTAGAAAGTCTAGGAAATGTAGAATATAAATGTGAGCCTAGCGGTTGCTTCGGTGAGATAACCAATGCAATACAATGTGTTCAACTAGATATACTGAATGCAAAGGCTAAGTGGCCCAAGTAAATCGCAAGTAGGGGGTAGAGAGATAACTCAAGATACAAAGATGAGAATGTTCCTCGAAGTTAACTTGGATGAAAGCTAGCCGCCCTTGGAGGGATGACTCTTACCATGAAGACACACCAACACCACGAATGCTCATCCTCTTATCCTTGAGATATCGCAAAGAAAATGATTATTGACGATACAACATAATTGAAAATCTATCTGTCTCAGCTAACCTCATCATGCATGACATTTCTCTCCGGAGAAATGAATACCACTTGTAGAACGGAGTTGCTATTCCTTCGAAAGGAATTATGTTAAACTCCCGTTAGAAGGAGTACATGCGTACTTCCTCAAATCACTACATTCATGTCTCTGAAAATAATTTCAATGCATATTCATATGATTACATTCGCAATGCACAAGTGACCTCCATAGGACAACAAAGAAAATTGTTTCTTGTTCAATCCAGAAAAATGAGGTCTCCACTTCCCAGACAAGTGTGGGTAGTGAAAACTAACTAACCCTTCTTGAAGGAACAATCTCAGGGATTTCCTTCGCTAATCTTGAGCCATGAGATGTATATTGTTGTTGCTATTTGCCCCTCATTTGTCTGTTTCTTTTGTTTGTTTGACTCGTTTTGTTGCCGTCTGTTGTGTTTTTGTTTCGTACGATGAACAACTCACTCAGGGTTGTTGTTTCGTCTTTCTTTTTTGGCTGAGTGTTTTTGTTTTGGACCATGTTTCCCCTCTATTCTCTCTCGTCTAAATCTATGTTGCCTGTCAGCATGTAATTTAATCTGAAGAAAATTTCCTTCCAACATCCTAGGTTGCGAAAGAAATGGACTTCGAACTTTTATCTATTTTTGGCATAAGCCCCTTCAAACCTTTCGGTCTCCCGCTCCACTCCCGACACTTTGGCACGTGCCCACAGTCTCCACAATCGTGATCGTACCCGTTGAATGTGGAACGTCCATCGCTTGAGGACCATCGATTTCGGCGAAGTGGTTAAGCACTTCGGCTATAAATCCCCTCCATCCTCCTCCTCAGTTCATCTGCCTTTTTCCTTCGAGTCCGTATTCCATCCTATAGTCCAAGCCCGCGCCCGAAGCCACTCCAGCGAGGAGCTATGCCGTGAAACTCGGTGGGAACTTGCCGCATTTGTCCACGCTGCTGCGGTAATCTTCTTCACTACATCACCATAGTTGATGTTGGAAATATGCCCTAGAGGCCATAACAAAGTGGTTATTATTATATTTCCTTAATCATGATAAAGGTTTATTATTCATGCTAGAATTGTATTAACCGGAAACTTAAATACATGTGTGGATACATAAACAAATACCGTGTCCCTAGTAAGCCTCTATTAGACTAGCTCGTTGATCAAAAGATGGTTAAGGTTTCTTAACTAGAGACATGTGCTGTCACTTGATAACGAGATCACACCATTAGGAGAATGATGTGATGGACAAAACACATCCGTTAGCTTGCATATGATCGTTCAGTTTATTGCTACTGCTTTCTTAAGGGTGTGTTTGGTTCGGGAATGAAGTGTAATGGAATGTCATGGTTCTGTTCCATAGGAATGGAATGGTTCCATCTCCGTGTTTGGTATAATAATGTAGTGGAATGGAACGGTTATGTCTCCATGTTTGGTTGGTGGAATGGTATGGAATGAAAATTGTTCAAATTGGTGTTTGCTTTTCTGGTATCATATGCAACATTGATAGTATGTTCCCGAGCTTTCTTTTCTAATTCTAAAATAACATTTGATTTGTATTTTCATCATCGAGGAAAACAAGTCAGGTGCCTCCACCAAAGTGAAAACATCCCTAGATTCTCCTATCTCGCCTCGCCCGACATACATGGAGATCACACCATTCTGGACATTCACATCAGAACCACATCTAGTTTTGAGGATCGGTGCTTACATGGATTAGCCAATTGAACCTTCCTGAATTCTTCTAAGCCGCCACCATCGCTCGCCATGGCTGCCGCCTGGAATCAGGCGCCCTTCTTCCTGGCCTTGGACATGGGCCCATGTAGGATCCAAAGTATGTCTAGAGGGGGGGGTGATTGGACTGCTTGACCAAATAAAAATCTAGCCTTTTCCCAATTTTAAGTCTTGGCATATTTTAGAAACTTAGCACAAGTCAAGCAATCAACCTACACATGCAATTCTAAGATATAGTAGCGGAATGTAAATCATTACATATGGAGGTAAAGGGGAGGAGTTTAGAGGGAGCAAACGCAATGTAAACACATAGATTTTTGGCGTGGTTCCGATGGGTGGTGCTATCGTACATCCACGTTGATGGAGACTTCAACCCACGAAGGGTAACGGTTGCGCGAGTCCACGGAGGGCTCCACCCACGAAGGGTCCACGAAGAAGCAACCTTGTCTATCCCACCATGGCCATCGCCCATGAAGGACTGGCCTCACTAGGGTAGATCTTCATGAAGTAGGCGATCTTCTTGCCCTTACAAACTCCTTGCTTCAACTCCATAATCTTGACGATGGCTCCCTAGTGACACCTAACCAATCTAGGAGACACCACTCTCCAAAAGGTAATAGATGGTGTGCTGATGATGAACTCCTTGCTCTTGTGCTTCAAATGATAGTCTCCCCAACACTCAACTCTCTCTCACAGATTTGGATATGGTGGAAAGATGATTTGAGTGGAAAGCAACTTGGGGAAGGCTAGAGATCAAGATTCTTGTGGTTCGATTGGAATATCTTGGTCTCAACACATGAGTAGGTAGTTCTCTCTCAGAAAATGAATGTTGGAAGTG